TGGCACAGGTTGCCCAGAGAAGCTGTGGCTGCCCCATCCCTGGAAGTGTTCAAGGCCAGGCTGGATGGGGCTTTGGGCAACCTGGTATAGTGGAGGGTGTCCCTGTCCATGGCAGGGGGGCTGGAACTGAATTCTCTCTAAGGTCTCTTCCAACCCAAACCATTCTGTGATTCTATGAATATTAACCACCACCTCCCACAACAGGCAATAGGAACAGATTTTCGGCAACCAGGATATCTTAGTTAATAGCAGCTGGGATTTTTGTTCTGGTAGAGACCAAACGAAACACTGCCTCACGTGTTAGTTTTTGAGTTAATCCAGAACACGAGAAGTAAAACACGCAAGGTTTATCAGGCCTGCACTACTGCCAGACTTCACAGAGTAGCACACTCGGGCGAATGCAGCGTTACCTGTTAACTCTTGCCTCTGCTGGGTCGCAGCTTCCACCCCACCATCACTTGCTTTGCCAACCTGAGAGTGAAATTCACGTCTGTGCTTTTTGCTGACAACACCGACTGCCTTCTGGTAGGAGACAGCGGAGGAGAAGTCAGTGTGTTCAAGCTGCAGAACCTGGCTGCTCCCAACGGTGACAAGGTACAGTTCCCTAGGAAAAGGTGGTGGTCCTGGGAGGCCCCCATGCTTGTCTGGCACCACATTCCTCAGAAAGGGGTTTCTGTTCAAGATCTAGCTAATAAATACTGAAATAGGTGGGAGCAGATAGAACTGCATAACCACTTGATTGCAAAGCCAGAGGTTTTCCGCAGCTGGATTTGGGAGGAATGCTTAGAGCAAGGGCAGGAAGGTGGAGCTTCCTCTAAACACAGTCTGCAGGTGACTGTATTTGGCAGAATGCCTGTACCTGCTGCCAAGGCAGGAGCGACATGCCCTCTCCTGGCCACCACCAAGATAGTCTCGGTTTGTTGGTGTCAGCAAACCCACTAGCCCTGTGGCTCTGCGTGGCCTTCGCTCCTTTAGAAGCCACTGCTTTTCCTGTCCTGGATGACACGTGAGAATTTGACTTACCTTACAACTAGGTTCCTTTCCAGTCATACCACCGCACAAATTCCATGTCAGCAGCAGCGTAAAAGCTGACTGAGGTCATCTCTGAATCCCTTCTCTTCACTTTTGCTCCTACCCAGGGCATAAATCGTGATAATTTATACCAAAGCCCCACTGGGCCTCCTTGCTTGGTCCATGGTACCAAACCCTGGGTACTCCTGACCAGCCCTGAACCATGCTGCTCCCTTTGTCCTTTCAGCTTTGAGCAAGTAGCTTTGGCTTACTGGAATCGGGTTCCCAGTTTGTGAAGTGGGACTGGTACTTTTTAAAATCCCTTCTGAGCTACACAGTACAAAACACGAAACTTAAGTTGGAGAGAACAAAAATGCTGATGTTCATCTAACCTTCATGGTTAGGGTATTAAGCATTAATAATTCACAATTGTCAGCGTTGCATTTAGAAATTCTGGCCATTACCAGCCTCTTTTGCCAAGTGCTGTAAACCACAGAGCAAAAAAGATACTTCCCTCGAAAACTGGAAGCGAGGCCCTTGTTGTTAGACTTGGACAACAAATTAGTAGGGTTTTTTTCCTACAAATTACCATGAAGCAGCCGACATTCTCTGATCATAAATTCCTCAGTGACAAAGCGTACAGTGGTAATTTTCTGGGTATGTCACCAGAACAGCACTAAAAACACTGGGGCTTAATTTCACCGACTTTGGGCATGTGGCACAACTGATCACTGCATTGCAGAGCCTCATTAGCCTGAAGGAGCCTCGTTTTCCAGCATCATCCATTTCTTTCACTCCCTTTTCCGATAACAGCAAGCTCTCCCTAGGCTCAGGTGTGTACAAGGCTTAGCACAACGGGATCCATACTACGACTAACGCTCAGCAGAGATAATTACTTTGGGGGCAATCACATCTGAGTACAGCTACCATACAGGTACCACCTTGAAAATTAATTTCCTTTAGAAACAAGACATATGTTTGCATGCTGCTAGGCATGATGCTGCAAATGTCATCCAAACAGTCTGCCAAGAAGCGCTGTTTGCAAGGAGCACTGTTAGGGGTCAGTGAAGTTTTAACAGAATTCCAAAGAAAAAGCAGCTAGTGTAATACTACCCATCTTAGCCTGCTTTCTGGATGCTCACTGCGCAAGTGATTCTGTTCTCAGTTTGTAAATCGGAATTTTGGATCGCTGCATGTCTTACACGGGAATTGCACTCTTAACTTTTTTCCCTTTTTCTTTGTTTTACAGGTTGATATGTTACATGATATCATCGGTCCTGCTGTAGCTATGTAACAGTAGGTAAATGATACCACTCCTCAGCTGGCAAACGGCAAGAAAGGCTTATTGTATTACGAACATAGACTGTTTACTGGTTTTCTGTCATTAAAATTTCTCTTTGAAACCACACTGGTTAGAAACCACTTTCAAATGCTCTAAATTTTCCCCTGGAAGTCCCCCTCATTGGGTGAACAGTACTACTACACAGTAGGCCTTCCCTATAGAATAGATGAGGTAACAGAAAGGTCTCCATAGTCTTTTCTCCTTGGGTTTTTTCTCCTTGTTTTTTTCCTCCAAGGACTTTTCTCCCTGGGTTACTCAAAAAGCAAAAATGCCAAAATCACCTCCTGTATAGGCCACCCCATCAGGAGCTAGAACACAGCCCGAGTCCTACCAGACGCAGTCTGTATTTTCCCTGTGAAGCCATACAGTAAATGAACAGACTTTTCATCAGATCCACCTTGTCTGTCACCCCATCAACCACCACCGAGGGTGAAAGCTGAGCTTTGGGTGGCATCAGGTGCTCCTTCGAGCTGTAGATTGTCCCACACCAGGCAGTAGAGACCAACTTTTTCAACCCATGACAAATTAGGATAACGTCAAATCGCAGTTCAAATTCACCCTGTTCCAGACGGATGCTTTTCCGAAAGCTCCTCACATGAGACAGCGTGGTCCTGGAGCACAGATTGACTTTCACAGCCCTGGAAGCCAGATCTGTGGTATTCCAGGTCTCACCACCTCCCCTAGCCCAAAAGCTGTTGGGAACGCTTGCTCTCTAGGCTGTCTTTTTTGGGGGGCAGATCAGAAGAAACAGGGAAAAAAAAGCAGCCAGGGAGCCACCAGCTGGACTGTGGTGCCTCAGAGGATTTTCAGAGACCGGCTGCTCCCAGGAAACACAGAGCATCTCTACAGCTGAGTAATTAAGAATAAGATCCAGGCTGTAGCCCCGTTGCCTGCCAAGTGCACTGGGGATGCCCGTCGCAGGAGCCGGGCGATACAGCCGCTCGGCTGCGAAGCACTCTGCCTGCCAACCGGCGGAGGCAACGGCTGCCTTGAAAGCATTATGGAGCACGACGTACATTTTATAGACGTGGAACATCCAGGCTGTCCCTCATTAGCCTGACAATAAACGTCCAACACTTAAACACACCACTGAAGTTAAAGATCATTTGTGATGCATTAGCATTCACCTCCTGCGTTCCGCACGTTTTACAGCGGACATGCAAGCTAACCCTCGACATAAAATTTATCTGCATGCATTTCAAAGACAGACACTCGTTAAGGTGAATCGTGTGTTAATCATTGTTACAAATCTGAACAAAAATACACCATGTATTTTTCCATTGGTGCTCATGACTGTTTACTTACCGATGCTACTGGTAAAAAATGAGCTTTCTGGCAAGGCTGGAACACATTGTAATTCATGCTGCACGTAGTGTAAACTACTTAACTGCTGGAAAACATTTGCGGTGCTAGGAAGTGCTGAAGATCTCCGAAGTTCCTCATGTATTTTGTTCTTGAACATGGAATTTCTGACCTGGTAATTGCCAAATTTTTTCCTTAAGGCACTTTATTGCAATAATTTTTTATAGAAGCTTACAGGAACTGCCGCCAGCATCATCTGCAGCAATAGGAAAGAACCACTCTGGAGAGCGTAACCAACTACCAACTGCTGGTCCCGGAGCGCAGTAACACTGCTCCACGCTGCTTTGGCGGGCCCACTTCTGTCCTCCAGGTATTGCCAAAATGAAAAGGACGGCCAGGACGCCGACCTGCAGTCATTCTGTGCTTTGTTTAGAGCCATCTCCCTCTCTTTCCATGCCTTTTTGGACAAGGGCCGCGTCCACTGGCCTCACTGCAGACACGCGAGCCGTGCAGCTGCAGTGGAGCTACTTCACTGCATCCAGCTATCCGGCCAGGCAAACACCTGTGGACACAAGCTGTGCAACAACTACACTGCTCTGTCCGGTTTGTCACGGTGACCCCATCGCGCTCAAATGCTCCACGTGCTGCAGGATCACGTCCTGTCACATAGCACGCTGGGAATCCTAGTGGGGCATTTGCCACAAAAACCCCTCAGGACCCGATTTTCTCATCAGCGACTGCCCAGCTCCGGCAGGTTCCTCTGAAGCATTTGCAGTTGCCAGCTTGACAAGGGGATGCTTGGCAAGAGGACAAGGCACGGGGACGAAGAGGTATGCAAGCACGGATGTCACTGGAAGAAGTTAACTCCCTCTTAGTTTGGGATCACTAGCAGAAAAAGACCCGACGTTGCTTAACAGGCACGGCTGAGCAACAGGCTGGGTCAGCACAGCTGTGTGAGAAACACACAGAGACAAAGCCCATTATCTACAAACCATGTAATAAACACCCCCTCATGTGTGCAAAACCTACACATTAACCGTATTGACCTAAGCCTGTGCTCTATGAACATGTTGTACTACATGAGTTCCCGTAGTAAAACAGTTACGTAGACTTGAGAAGTCTTTACTACCTGACCAAGATCCCAGCGCAAATCCCAAAGCACTTAAAACGCTACCGGAAACAAGTGATTAACTTGTTTTTAGCAAACATTAAGTCATCCTCAGAACGAGCCTGAGCAGACGGACCGTCAGTATAAATGGGAAGATTTCAGCACAACTCCCCACCTCAACCTCACGCGTCCCTTCTGCCCCACGGACACTCAGCCCCGAAGCACGGCAGCTGCAGAATGAGGAGCACAGTGCTGGCCCTGGCCTTGCTCTCCCTCCTGATTGCAGCACGAGAAGTCCGAGGCGAGGGAAACACGGTGAAGCTCTGCGGGAGAGACTTCGTCAGAGCCATCGTCTTCACCTGTGGTGGCTCTCGCTGGAAAAGGCATTTGACTGATTATCGCTACCTGTTTGGTAAGTGCTAATTAATGACTTAACAGGCTTATCGGCCCCTGCGAGGCGCACCCAGGTCTGAGGGGTTCAGGAGAACCCAATCACCTGCAGGTTGCAGCTCAGGGCAGAGCTGTGCCCTCCCTTGCTGCCGCTCCCCTAAATGGCTGTGTCTCAAGCACCAATGGCACAGGCTTTGCTCTGACACAGCAAGCGAGGTGGTGCCAATTCATTTTTTGTTTCCTTGCAGCTTGCTTGGCTTAGCTTAGCCTGCGATTTTGCTAAATAAGTAACATTTCGATCAATATTCTCCAAGTCAACCTGAGGAACCATGACTTAAGCCCAAGGCCGTCGCTGAAAATCTTTATGCCACGACATCTTAAATGTCAGAGATAAGCTTTGCTTTAGTCAAATTCTTTACTGTTTTCTTTGTTAGGACACACCACCTTCCCCACTAGAAACTGGAAACTTTATTACAACTTAAGAATATTACAAATAAACTATGCTGAAGTTTTAAGTATCTTCTATACATGGTGGTGTATATATTTATTAGCACATTTTTAGGTAGAGTAAAAAAATGCAGCCGTTACACGCACTGCTAGAAAATTGTACTCTGACAGGTTAAAAGACCTAGGAAAAAAAAAAAAATGAGGCAGATGACAAGAACAGAGGCACTTTTCACGCAGTAACATCTGCCTTCTTTGAAAATTCTATTGTAGCAGCAGCTTTAATCAAACATAAAAAACGGTGCCACTTGGCAACACCCTGCCTGAGAGTCTGTTAAAGGAGAAAAACCCCACGGGTAAACTAAGGGAGACAACTACTATACCTTTACAAACTCCCCAAGGCAGTGCCCAATTGCACCGTGGTATTTAAAACATCAATTGCAAGCACAATTTAGGAGGGAACATCCAGGAACTTTGACATGGTGGGTATCTGACGCCTTAACAAAGTATCTGCGTTTCAGGAAACCCGCAAGCAGGTCCAGTGCCACTGGCACATCAAATCATACTGGCACATCAAATCACGGTTTTACCCTTCGAAGGAAATACATCAGTGCAAGACTGACAAGGCAGCTATTCCTGCAAAGAACGCTCGTCTATATAAATCCAAAAATTACTGGTTTTTTAACGTGTTCATCACAGAATGTGTGCCTCACGTCTCTATTTTAATACTGTGCCGGGGAGCAGTCAGTGATCCGATACATCTCAGTGGTTCACATCAGAAAGACGGAGGGTAACACTTTCAGCCCCCTGCCTGTAGCTGCTCTGTCTTTCCAGTAAAGACAAATAATATAAATGACTCGTGACTCCACGACTTCTCATTTTCACCTTCTAATTTTCATGCCACAGAGAGTGAAAATCCCCTGCCTTTCTCACAAGAGAGCAACGGTGACGCCGACTCCTTGATGGACACAGACCAGAGCGACAGCAACGAAATCCGTAACGTCAAGCCTGAGACAGAGAGAGACTTGCCACGCACCAGGAAAATGTCTACATTAAAAAAGCGCGAAGTAGCCAAGTTGCTTACCACATCCTGCTGCAGCATCGGCTGCAGCGAGAGAGAGATCAGTTCGTTGTGCTAAAACAGCAGACGCCGCCGCGGTTCCACGTCACAGCTTTCATGTATTAAAATAATCATGACCTAAACCACAATTATTTCAGTTGTATCATTTAATTGGAGCTTTATTCTCTGGAGTAAACTGGCGAGTAAAGGCTGAATGTTAAGTGTTGCAGCGCAAACCAGCAAACAGCTGCATTGACAGTTCAGGTTGGGGTGTCTGGATTCCACAAAGCGTTTACAGTGGTTTAGAGTTAAACTTCTAGTCGTGAGTACCGATACTTCCTCCCATCTAAATACTCCTCTAGTTTCAGCTTTGCACACAAAACGTAATAAACCAAGCCTTTTATGACACGCTCGTTCTCTTACTTACGGAAATCCAACGGCAGGTTTCGGCTGTGAAATACAGGCAGCAAAAAGTCTGCTCAGAATCAGAACAAAACCGAGGCAGCGCAGACAGCTCGGCGTGGCGCGGCACGCCGCCAGGCCCGTGCGTCAGACCCGCCCCGCAGCAGGGAATGGGTGCAGCGGATGAGACCTGCCATCCGTCAGCTTCAGCCCCTGAACCGGGCAGGCAAAAGCCAAGTTTATTCCCTATTCCAGCTGCTTCCAGCAACGCCTACCTGAGGTCCTACCCAGCGGGCAGTTAATTTGCACAGGGAGACTGGAAACACACTTCTGAGCTCAGAGGGCTGTACTTTCCCTCTTATCCACAGCCAGGTATCAGCTGAGAACTCCAACTCAACTCTTCTTTTTCACTAGATAAAAACATCTCAGATAGAAGGGCCCAGACAAGTTATATCTCTGCACTCTAAACATGATATAATCGGAAGACATTTTTCACTGGATTTCAAGCACTATGGGACAGAGTTAGTTTTCTCCAAGCAGAACTAACCACCTCCTCTCGGCCACCTTCTCTGTACTCCAGGCTTTCCTTTGGGCTCAGAGGAAGTCAGGCCAGCCCTCGGCGAGCAAAGCTCCTGACTCCCACTCTCTGCTGCCCTCCCGCTGCAGAGCCCACCTGGCACATCTCTGGGCCCAGCAGGAAGGTTTGGAGGGATCCCTCTGTCCCCCACACAGGGCACGGCACAGCAACTTGCAGCACCCAGCTGTTCAGGACGCAGCATCTGCGACACAGCGTGTGCATGGAGCCAGAGCCACGGGGCCTGGCACGTGCTTAACTGCCCGCAAACGCCATTTAATGGGGAAAGCTTTAAAATGCTTTTGGTTTACTTTCCCAACATGTGGTTTCTACTTGGGGATCACATAGTGAGCGCAAATTCAGGGAGAAAAAAGTAATACAGGGAGAAAAAAAGTATTACAGGGACAGGCGGTTCTGGAAGCAGCTAGAACCAGGTGCAGAACAGCATTTCAAGAGAATCACTTCACAGAGAAAGCTCTGGGAAATACGATTATTACATTCACTGCCGTAAGGCTTCCGGTAACCACATTTCAAAACAGGTGAAAGCTGCCTTGGACCTTCACAACCGTTTTCAACAACAGAAAGAGGCTGAACGTTCCTTTCTCCTGCTGTTAAACTCAACTACCTCCTCATTCAAAATAGACAGCATACACATTTGCCAGAGCAAAAAGTGAAGTGTTCTTGAACACATATGACGCAAACGTATCCCTCGCAGGATCCCACAGGCACCTGCTTCCGACTTGCATGCTCTGCTCATTCAGCTGCCCAATATGTGTCACCACAACAATCTTGTACCTCGGTATCATGAGGTCTTTCACCCGAGCTTTGATAACCTGCAAGAGAAAAACATGTTTAGACACAAGCAGAGAGCTCTCTTTACAGGGGATGCTCAGGGATCTGGTTTTCTGGGACAAGGTACAAGTGCTGCAGTACGGAACCCCTGCAACAATCCTGACAACAATCCTGGAACTGCAGCATTTCAAATACCTACTACAAACTCCCCCAGCCCCGTGGACAGGTGGCACATAAGCTGCAGCGGTCGTTTCATCAGAGAACCAACACTTCCATCTGCTAAAACCAGGCACACCGTCCTGCTGGACTACAGAAAGGCGAGCACAGATGTTAAGTGAGGAGTTAGAGTACATGAATGCCACATTCTCCTCCATATGTGTTCATGGTTACCTGCTGATTACACAGGGGAAAGGAAGAGCAGGAATTACTGCTTTTTTAATGCTGGTGAGCTTTTCTGGGCCAAAACAGTTGAAAGACTAAAGGGGCAGGACAGTCTTTTCTCAGCAGCAAGATGGGATTTTACCAACAAGGAGCTTGCATACATGACACTGTGCAGAATTCAGCCGTTACCATAACCAGCGTATTTTGGAAAGGTCTGATACATACCTAAAACTTATTAATGGCGTTTCTGGACAGGGCAACCACAACACGGAGTTTTTACTGAACCGTCTGCTTGCTCAGAGCCGCTGCTGCTAGAACAAACCTCGTCATTATAATGCTATAGTAAGTATAAGCCTGCACCCATCTCAGAGCAACCCTCGGCGCATCTTAATGGCCTCCTCCAGCACGTAGTTTACATTTTATATTTATATTTGGGGAGCTCCTCGCCCCGACGACCACCTCCCTGACACGGCGTCGAGGTGCGAGGACAAAATGGCCGCCCCGCGCCTACCTCAGCGATGTCCTTCGCCATCTCCCTGCACCGGCCCGGCTCGTAGGGCTGTTCCCTCAGGTAACTTCCCACCACATCCTTCAGGATATCATCCACCTCCGCCACCGGGAAGCGTTTGAGGGGACCTGAGGGGCGGGCGGGGAGATTAAACTGGGGTTTTCCTGAGGGAAAACCCACCTCGCTGAAGCCAAAGGAAAATGTCTCCTCCCTCCCCGAAGCGCCCGGCCCTGAGACCT